GCAAAGCTGTTTGAACTCCAAGGTCAGTGATTCAACCTCACCAGCTGCTCCTTGGAAATTCTATACAGAGTTGCTAAGGGTCAGAACTGACTCAACAGTACTTAACAACAACATCTATCTATCTATCTATCTATCTATCTATCTATCTATCTATCTATCTATCTAATTTCTATCCCACAAATATATGAGTTTGCAAGAGGATTTTTGTTCACTATCAATGTGGTGGAGCACATAGCACACAAAATGATGAAAACTTCCTAGATATTATGAAGCATCTTAATGCAATGAAGTGGGCCTGGGGGCTCAGGTCTATAGTCTCAAGGGACATCATGGTTAATTGGCATAAATATTCCACTAAGCCAATGTTCTACATCCTACTTGGGTGAGCAGCTCTTGGGATCTTGAAAGCTCATGAACATCGTCTAAGGTGTGATCATTGGTCTCTCTGCATACAGAAGAAAGAACAGTGATACGAACTGAAGAAGCTTGGACTTAACTAGTCCAGTGGACTAATGGAGCATATGAATATCATTTTCCATGATTCTGAGACGAGAAGAACTAGATGGTGCCTGGATATTACTTTCAACTGTGATCACATTGGGGTCTAGTGATCATATTAGAAGGTTCCAGATAGAGTAAGAGAAAATATGGAAGAAAACTTAAAATTACTTAATTAACTTTTAAAAAGACCAGGTTTACTGGTCAGAAAGACAGTGAGGAGCCTGAGACTATGGCCCTCAACCACTCTTCATATCTGAAAGGAACTCACCTTCCAGGTCTATTTTTCAGCCAAGCAGTAGATAGGTTTATGTGGTAAAGGGGCCAGGACTAGCAAGGTTTGCTCACCCTGGAATGGTCAATCATTCAAAATCAAAAGGGCTACTTTTCCCTAAGGACAAAGTGGGGAAGAAGTTGGGCTAAAGAAAAAGGGAATCTAAGAGAGAAAGTGGGATAACTATTGTTGCAGAGACAGGATTGCAATTTTTGAGGTGAAATAAAGTGTATGATTTGTTGAATGTAAAGCCAATGATTTTGTCTGTAAACTTTCACTCAATTTACAAT